CGGCCAAATTGTATGTTTCAGCAACAAAAAGTCAAGGGCCATGCATCTAACTAAATGGACTGCTAATCACAATAATGGAGTTATGGTCTTCAAATGAAAATTATTTTAAACAAATCATCAACATTAGCTAGAGAAAGAACTTTTGCACATGTATGAAAATTTTCTGTGTGAAATGTTGGTCAACATCTGAACAACTCCCTACACTTTTCTCTTTCTCTTTCTTTTTCAAAAATAAAAAAAATCTAGATAAATGTTCAGAAGGATACTGCAGCTCCTCTACAGTCCTGTTGTCAATTGTCCCTCGACTGTTGTAGACCAGAGTGCTGCTCAGTAACACAGCCAGACAGAAGATGTTGGTGTCATGCTTTGAGTCCCCCTACAATGCAAAACCATATTCATGAAGTTAGAATAATAAACTGGAAATAGCCTTGAATTTGCATTCACATTCAACTCAATGAAAGGTACTCACACAACTACAAGCTATAATATTTAGTGCTCCATATAAACAGGGCTAATTCACCACATTCCCCGCCTCCACTTTACAGCAAACTAGCAAGCTAGCACTAGACTGTTCAATACATCTGTTCATTCTCTAAAGCCAACAACATGCTGAATGAGCATGGATGCAAATAAGTGGTGTGAAGGTGCGCATGTGTATGTGGAAAATAATGTGTTTTTTTTAACCTTAAACTGCATAAACACATTTCATTACACCAAATACACAAAATAATGTTCTTTTTAGCAGCATCATATGACCCCTTTAATGCACAATCACCATTTTAGATCGACTAACTATAATACTGTGTAAGATTTACATTCGAACTGAAAGCATAAATCTAGACTATGAGCTGCCAGTTTCAGAGCAAAATGGCAGTGCTAAATCCCACCAAAATGAAAGCTTGCTGATTTTAGGTTTGAAAATGATGAAAATTCATATTAATTTAAATAAATAAATAAATAAAAGCACATGAAAATGTAAATATTAGCGTTGTATTTTTTAAGTATACTGTAAAATAATTGTTGTTACTTAATACTTGTTTTTTTATTTTAAAATATAATGATATTATAAATAGTTATTTATAATACCATACATTATAAATATTTATTATTTTATTTAAAAACAAACTAAATAAAGTGCAATAATACTATTATTACTACTATTAATCATTTTACTTTTATAGTTATATTTATTGTGTCACATTATGTGCAGTGTAAGCAACAAACCATGTTCCTCTTCAGCACCTAGAGTTATGGGATTAAGGTCATCTCTGCTCCAAAAATGAAAGTGTTATTGGACCCTTGGGTACTAGTAATTTGGTAATCTGGTAAATCTGTTACGTCACCTTGTCCACGTCCCCGAGTCCCTCGGTGTCCAGCAGCACCAGAGTGGTTCCTGCTTTAGTGGGGTGAGGCAAACACCACATCCAGATGCCCTTCGTCTTGGACTCTATTGTGCTGCCCAGTGCAAACCCTGATAATGACACACCAAACCCCCCACAATGACTTGCATGCATTCATTTGAAGGGCACGAGCGTTTGGATGGCATCAGTGCTGCTGACCTGTTTGCTTCCCGGCCAGTCGATTCATCAGGTAGGACTTCCCGGTGCGATAGAGACCCACCACAGCCACCACCACCACGGGCTGCTGGATCTGCTCCAGAACCTGCAACGCTGACCGCTGCACACACAGCTTCCCATCGGACGCCGTGTCAATCAAGCACACTGGTTTGTCCATGACCACTGGAGACCCAAACACATTTCTCTTCCTTTAATCAACCGCATTGAGAAATACTCCAATACTCCTGCATTAGACAGTACAGGAATTCCCCACACGAGCAGCCTTTCCTCTTTCTGTTTGTGTAAAATATTGCTTTAACAACACACTTTCACATCAAACTACACAAGCAGGCTGAGTAAGACACATAGAAATGCTGTCAGACTTGTTTGTGCCCAGCTACAGTCTTTAACCAGACTGGGTTTAGTTGATGCTGTGGGTAAATTTTGTGTTTCTCATATTGCCTTAACAACACACATTCACAACAAATTACACAAGCATGACAAGTTGCTGTAAGATGTGTTTGTGTGCAGCTACAGTCTGTAACCTGACTGGCTTTAGTTGATGCTGGTTTCTCCTAGAGAGGTAAAATACAAGTAAATAGTGTAATATAAACAAAGTCCTTTAAAGATCTTACTAAATATGGCCAGAACATCTATCAAGACAAGTCAGGCTGTAGAGTTCACTAATACACACACACACACACACACACACACACACACACTCACACATGGAGTGATAAAATTAAATCACCAACATTAAATCTTAACTATGTGTAGTTCATTATCAACAGCAGGAGCAAAAACAAACATTATTCAATCTGCTGATGCTGACTGTAAAACACTGGACATTGTATTGTTTGCATTAACAAGAGCAGTACAAGTGCTATAAATGATCTGAATGAAAGAATGTCCCTTACCTTTTTGCTTTAGTTAACTTCAGTCTAACTTCAATCTGAGTTGTGTACATGTTGTAGCTTCCTGATATTCTACCCATATTTCTTAGACATACCTTTAGGTCCAGACTCTTAATGCTGATTGGTCTAGAGTGAGTTAGGGGATGTCAACGATCTCTAGACTCTTAATGCTGATTGGTCTAGAGTGAGTTAGGGGATGTCAATGATCTCTCAGCATGTCTCTGGTTATTGTCTGTGGCTGATTTGACCTCCTCCTAGTGTCTGAGCAAACAACAAACAAAAAGTTTCATTTTCAAAATCAGCAACTGCAAACTGGAAAACATGTGACATACAAGAAGCTTGAATTGTTTACAGAATGTGCAGCAACACAGAGATAAAATGTTTCCCTTTTGGTGGTTCTATACGCACAGGTTGGAATGACATCTTGTATATCTGAGCTATAAACAACAAAAGCTGAACAGTAATATTCCAAAAATAAGAAGAACACAGAAGATTGTCATTTTTCAACCTATTATAAACCTTGTTTTGGATTAAATTTAATGGAAATTCCAAAGAAATTCTCCCTTCAATGCGTCAGACACTGTGAAAAGAACTGGGAAATTTTTATGTGTGCTCATGACTCCATCAGTACTGCATGACACTAACAATACAATTGTTCAGTCCAGGGTTATTCATAAACTGTGTACCATATAAGGTGTTAAATAAGTTGGGGTAAAAGCATCAGCTAAAGAAAAAAAAAAAGATTATTATACTACTGGGCTGGGTTTCATTTTGATTGGTTGGTTAATGTTCTAAGGTGTGCAGTTATTTTTCAGGGAAATGTCTGGCTAAAGTACTTCCAGGCAGGCCTTCACCGCATTACATGTCCATATCACTTCACCAAATTCAGTTATTTCAAAGGTCCTTACTGTCTACAACAGCAAATGAACTAAAATTCACAATGACACTGACCAAGCAAAACAAATACGACAAAGACTTGACTTGGCTCATTTGTTGTCAATGCCTTGAGTTTTTAGGAATTCTTATTTTGGAGGACTTTAACATTGAAAAACTCAGTAAGGTCAAAGGACTCTCTGTCTTTATTGAGTGTTTTGATTTGTTTCAACATGTTGATTGTTCTGCACATTACAAAGGTCACATGGTCTCATGGCAAAAACGTACCTGGGGGCACTTTTACACGAGATGTGAAATACATACCAGTAAGTACACATCACTGCAGTTTCCAATAGAAATGAACACTAGAGGCAGTAAAACTCCGACACCTTTTAACCTTTGCTCAACCATACAGTATATCTATCCCTGCTCACATTCATCAATAGCCCTTCATTTATCTAATCTTCTTCCTTAGGTTTTTTACTTCCTAGTATTTTTGTTTAAGACATGATTATTCACTTTGTTTGTGTGACCTGTGTGTTTCAGGTGAAATGTCTCAGTGCCTCGTCTGTGATGTTAGTGTATGTATCTTATCCTCGAGTGTGTTGTGCTTTTCTTAGAATTGAATATGTTTGGTACACATACTGGAGGTGCCTTTTCTTCAAAGTTTGCACAAGTCTGCAGACATGAGATATGAGATATCAATTTTTTACTCATTGCAATTTCATGCATTTGTATTTATTTCTTGTAAGCATCTTTTTCAGTATTATGTTTTTGGACTTATTTGTCATTTATTGTTCATTTATTCATTATTAAAATTAAAAGTGCTCTTTCCATCATCACTTCTTCGTCTGGTTGGATCTCACTGCATCACTGTATAATAATAGACACAGCAAATTTTACTCATTGAGAGATTTATTCGTGAAGGAGTAACGTACACACATTAGGTACATGTTTGTCTGAGCCATGCATTCATTTGAACGGTGAGCTTTATTGCAGCGTGGGAGATGCAGACTCACTTCTCAAATCTCAAAATGCTTTTAAGATGTACAGTTAATTTAAACACAGTCAGTTATGTCTTGAGGAATTAATATAGCAAATCCACTTGACAGGTAAAATTAAATGAGTTGCTAATAGCAATACTCTTGACATTGAAAAATGCAAAAGCCTGTACAAATGCTCGAAATGATGAAAAATGATTTAGAATGGCTTAAAAAACGGTTACACATTTTATTTATCTATTAGGTCTTTTATGTTATTATAAAGAAAAATTTCCAAGAGAGAAAGAAAATACTTGTTCATTTATCAAAATAAAGTAAGGTTTGAACAGTTACTTAATAGTAATAAAAAAAAGCTAAAAAGCATAAAAATTGAGCACTGCGAAAGAATACTGCAAGATATTTCAGGACAATATAAGTAAAGGTAGCATCATTTAGATGGTTTGACTTTTGTCTTTTTTCAACAATAATATTGAACAAACAATTAATAAACTATTTGGACATTTGTGTTAGTAGAAGGCTGCATACACACCACAAAAATGCAAATGTGTCACCTTTACAGACTGTAGTTATGAGTTAATGAATCATATGTCAAAATGAATAGTGTGTGAACTGCTTAAAATTACTAACATTTATACAACATTTGTAAATGTAAAAAGTACATTAGATTACCATTTTAATCAGATTAAACAACCAGTTTAATGACATTTGCAAGCATTCAAATGCACATTAATAAATAAGTTTTAAGTCAGTGTATAACATCTATCAAAATCATTTGTATATTTTTATAAAGTGCACAATCATATATGAATTAAAGTTGAACATTTATAAGCATTTTATGTTAATTAATTAAGTTTCAGGAGTGACAACCGCATTTAAATGCATAAAAAAAAAATTATCATTCCATGTGTGGCAGCGTGGTAACCATAGCAACATTGTGGCATCTCGGAGAGAATGGAGGCCCACATATTAGCTAGTTTTGTGTTAGCTGCTGTTGACAAAACAGACATTAGGCTGCAAAGACATGCAAAAATCCACAAATCGTTATTAAATCGCTGTCGGGATAGTCGTCGTAATCTAGTTTTGTTCTTTAAACTGTTGTTATTGAACAGCCTACACTCTCTTGACCGCAACTGGTCGGTCCAGAATACACCTCTCTCCGCCATCCTGTCAGATCTGAGGTAAACGCTTGACGCCTGACAATACACCCACATTGGCATGCTTCTCGTGACATCATCAACAACTAGTTGTTCGGTTGCATACACACTACATAGAATTTCTGTAAATGCGGTTGTCACTACCTGTATTTTTCGGGAATTAATGCGGTTGTCGAATTATGTATATCACAGCCACTGCATTAGCCATTATTTTTAAGTTGAAGGAGACGTAGATGTGAAGCAGCATGGAGAGCCGTTTCTGAAACGTGCCACGGTGCAGCTGGTATAAACACAAGCATTGACTAATACCTGCGATCATCTCCGGTGCCTGCGTTGAAGCCGTAATGTGCTGCAGAAGTGTGCAGTGAAAATAAGGGGTTATCCAAGCATTAATGTCAAGTAAGCTTTACTTGCCATTAATGCTTGGATAACCCTTTATACTTGAGAGTGGCCATGTATTAGGTGTTTCTTGGAGGTTATAGTACATTAAAGAATGATCCAGTGACTTATGTATGCCAGGTGATCTGTAAATGCGAAAATAAATTTCCATTGCAGTTTTGCGAAATATTCCTTTTTCGAATTGCCTGAAAAACGACCTCATGTGAGTCTAAAAACTTTTTTGCGATATATGGGAGTTTTTGCGCAATTCACATGTTTCCATTGGGCGTATTTTCCATTTTCAATTTGGCAATTCGAAGGGTAATGGAAACGCAGATAATGTCGAACCTGAGGAAGCATCTGCAGGTATGTAACAGCCTACGGTTAACTGTAAACAGTCATTAAATAAAGTAGGAAAGGCATTGCCTACTCCCACCTGCCAGACCATGTATTCAATTTTATCTCTGTATTGCTTGGTGTATGTCCAGTAGTTTGTTTAACAATGTTAATCTCCATCCATAAGAAATTAGCTAGTCTGCTAACTAGCTAAAGATGTCTTTACCAGCCACACTTCTATTTATGAACTTTTGACAGAAAATATATAGCTAATGTTTTTCCCTCCTTGAATAAGGTTGGTGTTAAATATATAATTACTCATTATATTTAATATGCTCTTATGTCTGATCCCTGTTGTCATGAACACGTGTGTATACTTTGCACCTTGGTTCGTCAGAAACAACATTTGTATACTGTGTATGTGGAAGAATGTCAATAAAGTAAAGTTGAGTTGAGTTGGTGACCATGTCAGATGTAATATTACAGTTATTTCAGCATTGTAGCATAACCTACATTAATGAC